GGGCCTAAGGCCCGAAAGCTTGGTAATAAAATAACTTATTGGTTGATGAAACAAGATCAATGATATGCCTAAACCAACCAACCAACAAATATTTGATACGTTATAAGTTGTTGCCCATGACTTATTCATTTATACAATGCAAATACAAACCCAAGTATGTGTCCAAATGAGTTTTAAAGTTTACATAAAGCAGAAAAGTTAGCGAGAATTGGACAGCATTTCTAAGTAGAACTCTGACTTATGAACTCTGAGTAGCGAATATAATTCTATCGTCTATTACTTGTATTTGTAGGTTCTATTCTTAGTCGTCAGTAGGGTTGATAAGGAGAAATTTCGAAGAGATTCATGAATTCATATTGAACTGCCAAGCTATTATTGCTTCTATTTTTCAAATAAAATAAAATCGCTTCCTAGGCACTTTAAAGATGCATGTGTTCAAGAGGAAATGAGTATGATAAGTTGTCAGCTTTAGGGAGGTCATGATCACAGTAATTTCATATCTGAGTGTTGCAGAGTGTCTTAAAATCGCATCTGCCGACCACAAAGATGAGAAAATAACAGAAAAAAGTGTTAAGAGAAGAGAATATAGAAGAGGATGAGGATGCGTTGAGGGTAAAGAAAAACGATGATAAATCGTGAGTTTCTGGTAAATCGACACAKTTGCTTGCGATTTAATTATGACCCTATTCAATATTGATGAGCTTTAGAAATGAACAAGTTCAAAACTAGTTGTTTCAGTGACAGGGAAATAATTAATCTTCGTCACTTAAGATGAATTTGAGAATAAACGAACCCATAGATTATCAACTGTTGATCACKTTTAAAAATTAAAATTTTGATGACGAAATAAAAATTCAAATGAAAGCAAGTCAGTTGAAACGATCTGCATGTAACACTTACGATTTCCTTTGAGAATTGTCATCATTATGAACAATTCTTTTCAATCCTTCTGGGATATAGGAAATAACACATTGAAAAATGCACCTGCCGCTGCGGTAACTTTCTGTAATTTTCCTTTTATTCAAGGAACAATCTTCGTTGTCATCAATATTTTCCTAGCCATTGCTGGAACATTTGGTAATATTTTGATCATTGCTGCGATCTTAGACACCCCTCAACTTCGTCGAAAAGTGTCCAACTTCCTTCTTTTGAGTTTAGCATTTGCCGATTTATTAGTGACCATTGGTGCACAACCAGTGTTTGTCATTTCACTGTCCTTGAGAACTTTCACACATCAGTGCAGTGAAGAAGTTGAGTTATTGTATGCTGTTGTTGCTGTCCTGGGATGGATCTCAGTTTTCCATTTGGCAGTCATCAGCATCGATCGAGCCATTTCCACAACAAGACCTCATCAATATCATAACATCATTAAGAGRTGGTGGAAGAAGATGCTGTTTATTTGCTGGGGATTGGGAATGATATTGAGCTGCTTGGTAATTCCAKTTCCTATAATAAACATTACAGTTGCGATACTACTTTTTGTTAGCTTCCTTATTATTATAATGGCTTACTCGGTAATTCTACACAAGATCAAATTCCCTACCCCAATACAAGTGTCATCAATGTCATCATCGACTTCAGTACAAAGCGCTATGGAAAGAAGAGTTTCTGGAACTATCGCAATTGTCATCCTGTTGTTTGCTATATGTTGGATTCCTTTCCTGGTAATTCTTACAATGTTTGGTCTTAATACCACCAATATACCAGTAAAATACTGGTGGAGCCGTACTCTCTACCTAGCAAATTCCTCAATGAATTTTATTGTTTACAGTCTACGAATTCGACATTTCCGAGTCGCTTATGCGAGGATTATCCACAGAATTGCTGATAGAATTAGGGAATTACTTGGGAACTGACTAGAAAAAATAAGGTATAAAATGTAACCACCGCCGTCGTGAATTCCTTTATTGGCAAAGCTACAGACATSGTGCAGGATTTTATAAAGTTATAAAAACAACGATACTTGGAATTTTGAACCAATCAAATCAAAGAATCATTCCTTTCCAAGCACTGTCTTCGATTTTCAGTACTATGTAAAAAATCGAAGCAGATTTTTATCAAGGATAATGATCATGCGSGAAGGTTAATTTACATGACAGCRCATTGTCACACATTGAATAAACGTGTCAATCAATCAATTTTAYTTGCTACACTCATTTACCATCCAAGATAGAGATTGTACAAGAAGCAGGGGCGGATTTAGATGAGTTCAACTAGTTTCTGGAAACTAATCAGATGTTTCTCAAAAATAAAATAATAAGTGATACTTTAAATAGAATTGTACAAATGAAAAGAATTAGAGGGTGTTTTACCGTGTAGCTGACATTACGATCGCTTTGGCCGCCGTTTTRAAAATTTTACCATAGGAAACCCACATTGAATCCCTGCAATATAAGCAACTTTGCCTTGTGGGAGGGGACCCATCGAGAGCCCAGAGTCTGTCTGGTACTCTAACAGCGGACTATCGYGCTAGTTAGCCTGGCGGAAMCTATCTGTGTTTTATGCGGCACAAAAGTCATGCATGTTGTCCCAATTGGACTAACAGCTAATGAATTATTGACAATTTTGCATTAATCTGCTAATTAACAATTAGACCTCGAGGTCGAGTGGACTACGAGCTAATAGCCYATGAGGCCGAGT